AATTAATATTCAAAATTTTATTAAAAAATTTAAATATTAAAAAAATTAGTAAAAATCTTTGCAGGCAAATTTGCCTGCATTACAATTTAAGAGATAGAGATACTTTCACTAGAAGTTAAAGAAAAGCCAAAACATTTACTAAATAAAAGCTATGCTAATTTTTTTGAATAAATTTGAGTGAAGATATTTCTATAACCACTTGATCAAATTTAACAAATTTTTTTTTATTTATATTTTTTTTTATTTATATTTTTTTCCATTTGGCAGTCATGCTTCAACTTTATTAAACTTTGTAATAATCCTCAAGACTATTAAAATTTTACAAAAATGGATTTATCAATAAGTAATAAACTCTAAACTTGTTGGCAAATAGCATATAAGAACTTTTTTAAATGACAAGCACTGCACCTTAGGCCCTCCTTCGTTATCTAAATTACAAGTTGCAACTAACCTAGTTACCTCAATTGGTATCTATGTTTGACCTGCTATAGCAATATTCAAAAGTTTGAATATGTTTTATAAATTATTTTGACAATTTGCATACTATAAATAAATATTTAGTATAATATATACAATCAATTTTTTTAAAAATTAAATAATGTTGTATAATTTTATACTTTTTTAAACTTTCATAGCAAATTATCAAAAATATACTGATATAATAAATTATCAAATACTTTAAAATAAAGTTATAATTGTATATGTAGTATTTAAAAATTAAATTTGTCATAAAAATAGCATATAGAGTGTGACGACTTAGCAAAGTAGTAGAGTCGTCACCCTTCAAGCGGCAGGTCTAGAGTTCAAATTTCAGGGACGACAATATTGAAAAATAAATCTGTATTCGGTATGATTATCTGCTGATCAGTTGTTTGATACATCATCTAAAATAGGAGCATTGGCACATGAAATTCAGATAATCGGAATAATCAATACCCATTTGGAAGCCTGAGTAAGGAGGTAGCCAAACCTTTAATGGTGCTACAGGAAAAACTGAATTTGGAAGTTAAGACCAAGACCAATGAACCAAATGACAAAAGATCTTTAAGTGGGGAATCTATCAACTGAACTGCCAATTCAGAAAAACTGGAAATTGACAAACATACAGTGCATACCAACCAGGTCACCAGCTTGAAAAACTAGTAGCAGGGGGGCTTATTCTAGTGAACCTGTGGATTGAAAGACACAGGTCATAAAACACAGGTCGAAAAAATAGACTGGGTATGCTGAAGGACTGGGAACTCCTGATTGGAAAAAAAGGACATATGCTATAGAAATATAGACCAAGATAAAACAGGCCAAAAGCACCTAGAGCCGGTCAAAGTCAAATCTTCCGAGTTGTTGGTTGGAAGTAAGAGATGGACCAGTTAGAAAATAATAGAAAAAAGAAAGTCTGAATATAAGTATCAGGGTAGAAAGTGAATCTTATAAGAGCATAGTGATCACTAAGCTATATCGCAAGTGGAATCTTCGGAGACTGCGAAGACTAGAATGGGGTATGGAAAGCTCTAGTAGGTTTATCTCAAGGATAGCTGTGGTATCCGCTTAATAGAGAAATGCAAGCCAATAATTAGTTGGTACAAACCCAAGATAAATTCACAAAAGTTCTAAGCCGGAATGCGAAATCTGCTAAGGACAAGCTGTAATTGTAATAGTTCCATGGTTAGAATAAAATAGTATACAGTCGACTCTCTCTAAGTGCATATTGTCAGAACCGGTACTTTGACCTGTATTTAGAAAGAACCTGCAATTAAAGAAAAATTAAATTAAAAATTTTATTAATAAAAAATAGTAAAATCTTTAAAAATTAATAACTTTTGATCTATTAATCCAATTTGGATGATTTAACTACCAAAATAATCCTCTTACAGAGATGTTTCTAATAAATCTAAAATTATAGCTAAATCTAATTACATAATCTCGCTCAAAATCATTAATAATTTGTATTATATTCACTATAATAAATATAATATAAAATATTAACTATCTTGAGATTACGTGATCCGATTTGGTTAATTTTAGATTCATTAGAATTGCCTCTATAAGAGGATCATTTTGGTAGTTAAATCATCCAAATTGGATCAATAGATCAAAAGTTATTAATTTTTAAAGATTTATTATTTTTATAATAATTTTATAAAATATTATATTATTATACGGATTTACTAAATCGCACCACTGGTGTTCAACACCAGTTCCGAAAAATTACGTGAATTAGATTAGCATATTGTGATCACATGATTATATATAAGCTATATTTATCTGATCGCTAGCCACTATGTTACACAACTGATCCTTCATACGGTGTACAACATATAAAAAAATTATTTTCAATACTATACGTATGTATGTACATATATACATATAATTTCACATAATTATAACATGTACTAGCAATATTGTAAAATATATTTTTTTTATATGTCGCTCACTAGGTGAAAGATTGATTAGTTGTGTACTGTATATCGATAGTTTCCAAATTTATTTTTTGCCTATTGACGAATTGATGAAACAAATATAAACTAACAAGCTTGTCTTACCTCAGACCCGAAACCTTAATTTTGTTAGCAGTAATTTTTGGTTTGATATATTTTAAAATTTAAGTGATGCTTTTTTACTTTACCTCTTCAGAACATTGCCTAAGCTAACTCTTCTGTATATAAGATAATTTAAAGTTAGCTTTCTTAATGTTTGTGTAATTTATATTCAATTAAAATGTATAAATAAGTTACCCAGGTAGTTAAATTCGTATGGGATAGTTTAAAAATTTTTATATATAACTGAAATTGTAGTATAGAGCTTTTACGTAGCAATAAAGTTTTAGGCTCTATATTGTATCGCCTTTTTTTTTTTTTTTTAGCTTAATAAAAATCTAACTAATCAATAGGCTTCAAAACTTTAACTTGTATAACAAATAAATCCATTTAAAAAAAAAGTGAATATGCTTTTGCATGACAAATAAATTAACAAAGCTGTATCTAATTAATATAAACAATCGTGTCTATACTTTGTATAACAAATAATTTATTAAAGCTGTCTAAATACAAAAACATGCAATGTGATCAAAAAAAATAATGTCAATACACAAACAACACTACATATTTACTTTGAGCATGTTCGTACATTATAATCTTCTAATCCACAAATTCTACATCTTCGCTTATTAGTACTGGTCTCTTCCATATCGCTAGTCTCTTCAATTTCAGAACTAGCAGATTCTGAAATATTTTCACATGTTCGCGCGTTATGACCATTCAACCCACAAATTCTGTATTTTCATTTGTTTATATTAACATTTTCTCTATTATTTTCGGTAGATTCTGTCCTAATATTAGAGACTATAAAATATAAATTGTTAAATTATATTGGATTTCAAAAAAAAATATAGTATCATAAAAATTTACTTGAACTATTATTATCTTGACCAATTATAGACATTTTTGCTTTTCTATTCTTGCTATTTAATATATTTGTTATATCGTTGAAGGCCTTAATTCTTTTACTCTGTCTGCTCTTATTCCTAATACCAATCAGATTATTTATGGTTTGAACGAACTCAAATGCATTCTCATTTGGAGCCTGATTCTCCTGATTTTTAAGTTCCTTTTCTATTACATTGATAAAGTTTTCATGCATTTTATAAAGGTCTTCAGACCTATTTGTCATAATAGCTAAATTAAGTGCTTTCTTTATCATATCATACTCTTTTCCCCATTGCTGTCTATGCATCATCTCACAACAAATAGGTCTAGTAAAAATGTAGTTTCCATAAATGCCCTCCAAATGTGAAAAATCAATTTGAATAGTGGAGAATTTATCATCTGAAGCCAATATAGTTGCTGGTTCATTCTCAAATACTAAAATGTTTTTATTAAATTTATCCAGATACCAGCGCCATGGTACAAGCCCAATATGAAACTTTGCGACCTTTGATACAAGCATTACTACGAAGAAATGACAATATACAATGCCATAACTTATCAATGTCAGGCATATACAGAGATGTGCAGTATTGTCATAAAGAACAACAAAATATATATTCATTTTATCTATTGTAGAAATGCGCCAAAGCTCACAAATTCTTGTTCGATCAAGACTATCTATTAATTTTTCCAGTTCAATCACATTTGCATCGAATATATCTTCTAAGAATATTCCATTCAGCAGTTCAGAATTAAGGGTAGGGTGAAGTGATCTACATTTTAATAGTAATCACATTGCTAATTTTTTTTACAATAACATTCAATTGAAATCAGGTGATGATCATATGTTATTTATATTGTACTACCTAGACAAATTTTGTACTACCTAGGCAAATTAAACATATGAAAATTGATTTTACTATATTTGTCAAGTAATTACTACTAAAAATGAAAATCGTTCACCCTACCTTTAACCTATAAAAAAAAAATTAATTGTAATACAGTATTAATTCTACTAACACAAATACTTTATCTTACATATTGTCCAAGCTTATAACTTAAATCAGCTATATAATATCGGTAATATATGCTACGATTAATTTCATTTTGTTGGAGTTTAAGAATTGCCGGTATGAGAAATTTCTGACATGACATATCAACTTTGCTGAAATATTTATTATAATAACTTTCTTCTCAGCTAATAGGAAGTTGGCCAATTGTCTCATTAAGGTGCACAAAGTGGCTTTCTCTTTCTAACAATCTTCTAATATTATGTTCCAGGTTCAAAAGAGTCAATACCCCATTCACTTGAGCTTTAATTAAAGAGTTATATGATTCAGCATACTAGGTACTTTGAACCCCAGCATTAAATAAACGGTGAGTATAACATAACACTTAAGCATCTCTATATTGATATAGTTGGTGTTGAAAATAACTAGAAGCATCATCATATTTTTTTAATAATGCATTCTATCTTTGTTCAAAAATAGATTTGACATGGCTATTTCATATATGACAGAAGTCTAAAAAGAATGTTTTCCAATTATCTCTGTACTTGCCAAGGAAATGCTTCTCCAAGTTTTTACGAATATGAAACAAGCAAAAGTGATGCTTGGTCATTGGCCAACAACTACTTGCAGCTGCAACTATTGCCGGGTCTGAATCCATATAAAGAAGATGTGATGCCAATCCACCAGTAGCCTTAAGAATGTTAGAGAATAACCACATGTATGTATCTTTGGTCTCATTTGAAACAACCACTGCTGCAGCAAGGAAAGAACGATTGTGATTATCTATTAAAATAATTACACATAAAATTATTGAATACCGATTGGTTTTTACTATAGAGTCAAGTAAAGCAACATCATGAAATCTAGCCTATAGTTGTTGCTGTTTTGGACTCATCCAAAAGAGCTTGGTAAGACAGTTATCCTGGCCCTCAAAATGTGCATCAATGTAAAAAGTAGGGTCTACTTGTTGTTGTTTTAAAAGCTCAAAATACATTGCACCTGCATCATTTATAGTTTCTTTATGACATCGAGCTGCCTAAATCATATTATATACATTTCGAATATAAATATATTTTCCTGGATTTTTTTTGTGCAGAACATCAACAATTGCTCCTGCCCGTATACTACAAGTAGCAAGGAGAGTTATGTCTTCGCACATTTTAGGTGTAAGTTTACGATAGTGAGGCACCAGTATTCCAATATTTTTTGTAAGTGAATAATTGTGTTGACTATCAATTTTCATTATATGAATCTCATTATCTACTTTACGGCAGTATAAATTAACATGAAACCTATAGTCACTAGTATGATGATTTTGATTACTCTCTTTAACAGCATGCGTCTCTTTTCTTGGTTCATATAATCGACCCTTAATACAATTATAAGTACGACATCGAGGAATTCCATCTTCTTTAGCTCTTTCACTATGTGTGATTGTAAACGCAAATTCATTCTCCAATCTGTGATTATCAAGCCAACTAATAATAAACCGAGAATATAATCAAAGCAAAAAATAAATTAAAATTACAGCTTTTTAATTTCATATTAAATACACAATTCATTCTTACCAATCTAATTCCGTCCAACTTTTAAATATCATCTTTAACATAATAGAATATGTAGGTCCTGTGTTATTATTCTTACTATCCACCATAGCTTTGTCAATTTCCACATTTTTTTTTTTTAAAAAAAAAAGTTAGTAGTATTATACCATAACGACTTATAATATTGTACAATCCCGAAGTAGTAAAGTTAAATTATTACATTCAACTATGCTTGGGTTATTTTTATCGATTTCCACTACTTTTTTTTTTTAAAAAAAAGATCAATACATGTTAGGCTATAATGGCTTATAATATTATCGTGCAATCTAAAATTATTAAATACTGTAATTATTATATTCATCAAAATAAGTATCCATATCTAAAATCAGCAAGGTACTACTTTTAGCGATTTCCGTAGCTTTTTTTTTTTTTAAAAAAAAGAAGGCCAATACATGTTAAACAATAATAGCTTATTATAAAAAAAACAAATAACCTCTCTACTACAAACAAATCGAAAAACTCTAAAAAAAGGTGAACAAAAAATACTATAATTATTATGTTCATCATCCATATCTAAAATCGGCAAGGTACTACTTTCAGCGATTTCTACAGCTTTTTTTTTTTTTAAAAAAAAAAAAAAGACCAATACGTGTTAAACAATAATAGCTTATCATAAAAAAAAAACAAATAATCTCTCTACTACAAACAAATCAAAAAACTCTAAAAAAAGGTAAACAAATAAAAATATCATAATTACGTTTGTCAAAATAAGTATCCATATCTAAAATTGGTGAGGTACTACTTTCAGCGATTTCTGCAGCTTTTTTTTAAAAAACGATCAATAACTCATTAGACTATAATAGTTTATAATTTTATTATACAATCTTTAAGTTGTTGAATAGTTATTACATTTGTCAAAATAAGCATCTATATGAAAACTAGCAAAGACATTAAGTTGTATTTGATTTGAAAGACCTGGGTGTAGTAAGAATTAATTATTACTTTTCATATGCTAAAAATTGTTTAGATACGACAAGAATTTATTTAGCATTTGTATAAAGTTCTTTTTTTATTTTTGATTTGTTTAGGTAGCAAACGAAAGAATCAAAACAAAGATTAAACAAAAAAATTATTTTATAGATTTGATTAATGTCAGGGTTTCAATTGTTTTATCAGTTATGTATTTATAACATATCTACGTACGTACGTATATGTAGTACATAGTATATCTCATATGCAGATTTGATAAGCATATCACATGACTCTGCCCGATGTTGTTTTGTTTTGGAGCTGGTGTTGAATACTAGTAGTGCGATTTAGTATTACCGTTATTATATATTATTAGTTTATATTATTATTAAAAAAAATAAAATATATAAATTTTAATTGTTTTATTATTTAAATAAATATTCTTAAATTTGATTGGTTAATATGTTAAAAATGCATTTAGAAAGAATATTTATATATATATAATTTGAAAAATAACCTGCATTTAGAGAATATAGAATATGCATTTAATTTATAAGTCCCAACTTGGGACCAGACTATTTTCATGCATATAGAGAGAAAATGCACTTAGAGAACATGCACTTAGAGGGAGTTGACTGTATATGGTAAAGATCAGAAAGTTTAAATGAGTAGTTCTAGTTTGGGCTGCAGGTACAAGTATCTAGTGTAGACGGTACAAAAAGTGCAGTGGCTAGTTGTATCTTCGTTGTAACCAGTATTATTAATTTCTAATATTAAGTTTCCCTTGGCCAAAGAGATCATCTTAATATTAAAAAAAATAAAATAAAAATAGTATATTAAATATATAAGTTTAGTTGTTGTATACTAACCTAAACTTGCACTTTTTTAAATACTAATTTTTTAAAATTAAATAAAATTTTAATAACCTTTTAGTTAACTATAACTTTAAATATTTAATGATATATAAAAAGATAATCAAACTGTATATAAATATGAAAAACTAAACTAACATCTAGTGCTTTTAGGTCCAGTCTGAGTCTAGTCTGGTGTCGAACCAGACTCAAACTCGAAATTTCACTAGTTTCGAACTTCAGACCAGACTTAAACTTAATTATGAGTCTGGTCCAGGTCCGGTCCAAAGTCTGCAAACTAGTTCAAGTCCGAATATATTTATACATATATATATTTATTTTTGAACTTTGGACCTAGTGCTTGGACTTATTATTACCTGGGTAACTTAGCAGTCCAATAAGCTATATTTTTTGTACCACTTTAGATAAACATTAACTTCGTAAAACAGGAGGAGTTGTCGATGTTACATGACTGAACCTTCCCCGATATGCAGTATATAAAAAATTCAATTTACAATACCAAATTATTCCACTAGTATATGTTATGATTATAATCTCATTTTTATTATAATAAAATGGCGTGGGATTATAATCATAACATGTACTAGCGGAATGATCTGGTATTATAAATTAATTTTTTAT